CCCCCCCCCCCCCGAAAAAACACAACCCTTACATTCTAATACGCCCTTTCCTATTCCTCATTCCTCTTCTCTGCCTCACCTAATAGCTCTTTCCTGTTCCTCATCTCTCTTTAAAAATCTTTTCAACATCAATCCCCCCCCCTTTTCTATCCAATTGAATCTAGTTAAATAAAAGACCAACAGCCTGTAACACTCGTGCTAAAAACAGGAACAACAACAACAACACGAGTAACAAGAATAAACTATTACAAACATGCATCTTATAAGAACAAACAGAAAGCTCTAATGCAGAGGACAGGCCCTGTGTCCATCAGAGCAGAAAAGAGCAATCGCATCGAAAGTGACCTGGGCCCCCAGGGTGCTCGAAAACTAAATGGCTCCAAATTGGCCACAGGAACATGCCACTCACATTAACATCAGGAAGTTTTTCCCCAATGCTGCTCCATTGACCACAATCGATGCTCATTCTCAACAAAAATACTACAATCTGTTATTACTTTTTCTCTACCTCTTTTTTTAAACTCTTTCACCACAGAGCAGTACACACCCACTAGAAAGAGCGGATGAATCGGGAATCATGTTAAGAGAGTTCTGGTCTTTGGAAAATGTGAATTATAAACCCAGGTACAGCGTAACCCCCTCCCCCCCCCCACCTCCCTTCCCTTTCACCCCTTTCTTCAATCACCAGAAAGACTACTAAGTTATGGTGACAAGTGTTCTGTTCAGTAGCGAAGAGTTAATTAAAGTTTATAATGCAAGATGGTTTCCTGGGTTTTTTAAAAAAAGGGTTTAAATATAGACACTGAAGAGCACAAAAATGTTGAACTAATAAAGGAAATACACGAATTTATTATCCAAAGGGGGGGGGATGGGGATGTCTTGTCAGGGACAGTCGAACTTGCCCTAACGGCCACCTGTTTAAGACAATCACTGGAACAAACAGCCACTTCTCTTCTCTTACTTTTGCCTATTTTTAAACATTATAATGACACTATAAACACGACCATCTGTCAAAGACAACCGCTTTTTCTTCTTCAACAATGGGTGGCCGTGTCAGACAATGTCGACTCTACCTTCGTCTGTTCAACAGGATCCTGTATCTCTCTCATCACAGGTTGGCCCAGACAGACAGCTTCTGCTTTAACGAAGGTGTTTTACGCCCCCATCAACACAGTTAACATCATAAAAGAGGCGGGATCCCTACCCTGCTTGTCATGTCAGGGCTACCTCGGGTTGAGAGGGATACAATATCCCAGTAGAAAGACGGAGATAATTGCTAAAAATTCTATTAATTCGGGATTCGAACACAGGTCTTCTGTGTGCAACAACGAAGTGTCTAACAACTACATCACTGATAATAATAATAATAATGAAGATCATTTCTATAGCGCCCACTCCCGTGTAAACACAGCTCTAGGCGCTTTACATAAATGCATGTAAGAAAAATATTCATGCACGCGACACACACACACACACTCACACACACACACACACACTCATATACACACAAACACACACACATATACATATACACACACACAAACACACGCATACACACTCACGAACACATAACACGCACACATGTATGCCAAACACACACACACACACACTCACACACACACACACATACACACACACACACACACGTACACACACACACACACACACACATCTACTTGCTTATCACACGCACACGATTACACATCGTCACGAAATGAGAATAAAATAATATATACACTGCAATTCACAAAATACATAAATGGATACATAGACATTTACATAACATTGTATTGAACATGAATCTACTGACTTAAAAAGGATGTCATTAAATGTGTCTTTAAAGATTTTTTTAAATTTAGACTCAGATGTTGTATGTCTCAAGGGTTGGGGAAGAGAGTTGCAAAACAATGCCGGTTCGGCAGGGTCGAGGCATCTCGACCCAAAGATTATTATCTAAAATGTGATGGAGGAAGCTTGAAATATTTGCGATCATCCAGACTGGATAGACACTCAGAAGCCAAACAACAAATATTTCGTACAAAGACGTCTATCTCAGAATCACGCTCATTGTCATGCTACCAAACAAAGGCTTTATCAGTACGCCTCGCTTGGCACTCTGTATCTATTCATTACCCCCAGCAGGCTCTATTTCCCAGCCCATAATGTCATAAACGTGTGACTACACACACAAAAACCCAACAAAAACCAACAATCAAACTGCTAATGCCATTAGAAGAAAAAAGCTCACAGAGTGCCAGGATAATCGAGACTGCCAAATTGGCTTCAGAAATGTGCTAGGCCCATCAACGTGTTGTTTGTTCCCTCCATTTTTGGTCGCTGTTTTTTTTTGTTGTTTCTAGTTTTGTTCCATGCCCATTCCATTAACTGGACAAATATGAAAATAATACGAGTAATTGTAGATTTGCTTTTAAAGCTGTAACATTACCTGCGTAGAATGAACACGTCATTCATGAAGATGAAACGAATGCCATGCAGTGTGGTGTTCTGGGTAAAATCAAACAGCGCTTCCTTCCATGTCAGGGAGCCTTTTTTCTTCTGGGGGGAAATGACGTCAGGGTCAAGAGAAGATGACGTCACACCGTCTTTGGCGTAAGGTTTCATGGAGATAGATTCTGGGATGTTGTTGTCGTATTGAGTGTTGAAGGGTCGAGGTTCGAAGCTGTTGTGATGGGCGGTGTTGTTCATATTGTCTCGGGAAGATGAAAGATGAGGACCTCTCCCGTTGCTCTCAAAGCCGGAGAGAAAGGGGGTTGACTCGGCTTTCGTGCGTTTCAGATCTCTGGAAAACACGAATAATTGAAAAAAAATCAAATTGGGAGTTTTCAGTCTTTTGTATAGCTTTGATGGTCAGTCAAGTGGTTAGGCTACCGCTTCGTAATCGTGAGAGTGCGGTTTCGAAAGTTTGAAGCCTAGTTTGGTCAAAAGTTCTGTCCTTGAGAATATTCCCATAATATGGATCGGTCTTATCAGAGATGAATTTTAAATTTAGAGGTCTCGTATCTCGAATAACCTGACAGAGTTGCAAAAGTCTTAATCATACAAAATTTTGCATTTTTAGTCATTTGTGATGGGGTTGCAAAAAGGCCTACAGCATTTTCAGGGTTCCTTTGTTTTAAATCGATCTAAGAGAGAAAGAAAAAAGAAACCAACTACTGATCATGCAATCATGACAACTAACAATCCCGCCACCATAATCGTGCCTTTGTTCTCGTTTATTTACCTCGAAATTGTATTTTCGTTCCCCTGGTGTTATTGTTGCTGTATACGTAGATGCTGTTGTTGATGCTGTAGTTATTGTTTAAGTTGGTAATACCAGTGTATTGGTTGTCTAAATTAGTGATGATTTTTTTTTGGTGTTGCTGTTGCTATGAATTTATGCTTTTGTTGATGCAGTAGTTGTAAAAGCTGTTAATGGTGTTGTTGTTGGTGTTGTGGAAATGTAAGGATTTAGGAACTTCAAAAGAGTGAAAGAGGGAAGTGGTGGAAGTGAGGGCAATGATTATTACGTAATATTACAATAAGATAAGATAGATAATAAATATAATATTTTATTGTCCCAGAGGCTGTAAAATACATTTTAAAAATAATGTATATGTTACTTTCATTAAAATTCAATCTGTAAAGAAAAGTAAAGATGACAAATGTACATATCACATCAGATGGAATATCCAACCACATGCAGGATAATAACACGCGTTTAATCATAGAATGGTATAAAAAAGACATCATCTTATTATCTACACGAAAACTTCCTTATTTCCTTAAAATATACATTCTTCAATTACTGTGATTGATGTATTTGTCTTATGCACAAGACAATAAGATATTAACTGTCTTCAAAAAAACCTGCTACGTCATACAAAGAAAACCGGCGTCTTTTGTGTAACAATAATTTAAATTTGGTGCTTCAACGTCACACGGAGGAGATTCAGTCGATTCCCGTTCAGGGACATTCATACCGAATGGTTCGGTTTTCTGTCCAGTGCAGACGAGACGGGTTTTTTTGTGGGGGGTTTTTTGGTAAGTGTTTTACCGCGCTTGCAACTGCAATAGGCCAAAATAACGCTCAGGACATATTTAACATTTTCAGTTTGGTAGGATTTAATTTTGATTTTATGCCAGGGTAGCTACCAAAGCCTTCTCGTCGATTTTAGGATCACCAAGGGATTTTTAATGTGCACAACGTGCACACGGGACCTCCGATTTTTTTTTCGCCCCTTATCGGAGAAGGCTAGGTGTTTGATCTTACCTACGTTAAGATCAGGGTCGTGGCTGATAGACAGCAGTATGAAGGAGTCTAGGGTAGCTATAGAAAGGCAGCAGAAAGATTTAGAGCCCAGAGAAGGGGGGAAAAAAGGGGGGCGGGAGGCGAAAAAAGTGAAAACGAAAGCAGACGACAGACCATGATTAGAGAGCAGGAAAGGAGGTGAAAGGAGAAAGTTTTTATTTTAGAGGTGAGAATTTTCCGCGGCTGTCAGGATTCGAGCCCGGAACCTATTGAATTAGAGGCGAGCACCATAACCTCTATAGACCAGTCGAGATGTTTGTTCCCTTATAAGCTTGAGCTGTCCCTGGAGGGTGGGCTGGGTCAAAGCTCAGCTCCCAATTGATTAAAATTGAAGTGATTCGGGCGTAAAAACACACGCACTTGTAAAAAAAAAAAACCAAAAACGATTTCACCAAAGATATATCATTTTTAACAGTTATGCGCTTGAGTGCGTCGTTGATACAAACCTGAAAAGAAGGTAATCCTGAAGTCCGTTTTGCTCAGATTTCAACTTCTCGAAAGCGGGAAAATGTTTCACTTTCGGGACACTGCTATGCTGTGATTTTTTTTCTATGCGGATATCCGTATAATACATTCCAGTTCCACGTTACACACGTCTGTAAATTGTAAAAAGAGCAATCACACTCATGTCTTCACGAGCAACGACGAAACTTGATACTCTAGCATTGAAAGAGATTTCTTCGAGGGGTGGAGGAGACAGAGAGATGGAGGGCAGACAGAGAAAGAGAGAAAGAGAGAGAGAGAGA